AAACACGTTAATCTTCAGTGTTCATGAGTAAGGAAAGGAGAGAGAGCGAGAGAAAGAAGAGGGAAAGGGAAGTGGTGATAGAGAAATAGAGAAACGGAAGGGGAGTGGCAGGGAGAGGGGGAGAGAGAGAAAGACAGAGGAGGAGGAGGGGAGCGAGAGGGGAGGGAGGGAAGGAAGAACAAAGGTATTTATTTGTCTTGTTTAACTGCTGCCCTCGCTCCTTCTCAGCTGGCTTTCTTCAGGCTGAGGACACAGATCCACTCTGCCACAATGAACTCTCAGTCCTGCCTATTTTCACTCCGGCCATCCATCCCAGCAGAGCCAGGGCTCCCTGGTCCTGAGGCTTCTCTTTAGGGTGGGAGGCGGGGCGCTGGGAGCAGAGTCAGGAAGGGGAGTGGAAGTGGTTTCGGAGGCACTGAAATCTTGTCACTCGTGCTCTGAATAAACCATCAACGTCGCTGACCCTTAGCTAGAAAGTGAGAGAAGAGACAAAAGCTAGGAAATCATCATGTAGTCTGCTGTTCTTTCTTTTTTCTTTTTCTTTTTCATTTAAAAGGGAAGGTAGATTCTCTGTCTAACATGTGGTGCATGAAACAAACTACTTCCTGGCAGAGTGAGAAAATGTTCCTGAGTCCAAACTTGTTCTGCTCACCGCGCGACAGGCCAGTAAATCGGGAGACGAGGCGCTGGGGAAAGGAATAGTGACTTTATTCGGAAAGCCGGCAGACCGAGAGGATGGCAGACTCATGTCTTGGAGAACCATCCTGATCCAGTAGGAATACAGGTTCCTTTTATACAAAAAGACAGGGGAGGGGTTATGGTTGGTTGTTGCAGACTTCTTGGTGTAGAAATTCTTGGTCCCTGCAGCTGTCCACGTGGGCCAGCTCATGGTGCTCCTTCAAAACCTCCAACGAAACAAATGTTATTCTCTATTCTGCAACTTGTTATCTTTATGGAGTGCAGAGCTAGCAAGACTAACCCTAGAACACAGGGCACCGTGGTTAAAGCTAAAGGAACAGACCTAACAGAGTCAGATTTGTCCTTTTCTATTACAAAAAACCAGCAGTGGGGCTGAGCCACGGCTGGGACACTTGGCAGCCTGGACACTTCACCAGCTCCTGCCGAAGGAACCATGGCCAGTGGCTTCTCCTGGCTCTTCTCAGGCCCTGTCCTACCCATGTAGGGTTCCTTTGTGCTGAAATTGTTGCCCCTGTACCCTGATGACCAAATTGAGACTTGGAGGCAGAGTTTTGAGAGAATCAGAAAAGGTCAGCTTTATTGTTCACCAGACAAAGGGTGGGTCACAGCAGGCTGATGCCCCAGAGACTGTGAATTCATCTTGGTGTTGGTGTCCTGAGGTTTTACAGAAAAACCAGATGGAATAGAAAGGCAACAGCAATCAGGGTGTTTACCGGGGTGTTACATTCTTTTTAACCTTAATGAATCCAGCTGGCGTCACAGAGAAACTCCGGAGGGTCTGTTCATTCTTCTGAAGCTATCAGCCTGTGACCACTTTCCTGAAATACAGCTTCTGGGTTAAAGGATAAAATATTCTGGGTGAAGAATGGATAGGGAGTCAGAGTGGAGAGTGTAATGGAAAGGTTGGAACAAGAGCAATTAAGCAAGTGAAACAGAAATGCGAGCTTGTCAGAGAAAAGAGAAAAATAAGTTGCAAGAATTTTAAGTCAGAATGAATCAGCAGACAGCTCTCCCATCAGGGAAGCCATTTTGTTAGTTAGTTTCATACTCTTTCAGAATCATGAAACCAACTCTTGCTGCGAATGGGAGGAGCGGGGCGAGTAGAGGCTAACCTCTACCTCAAGGTGCACCTCTGGAGAAAGATCAGGTGGGCAAGCGGCAGAGAGGCTTTGCCACTGTCGCTTTCACCCTGTCTCTGCCTGCCGTTGACTCATGATGCAAGGGCAGCTCAGGCAATTCACAGAAGCCCTACGTGCAGGGCTCCCACGTGGGCGGGATGTGGCTGCCAAGGTAAACACGTCATGCTCCACTTGGGCTGAAGGGCAAACATCCTTGTTGTTCATATGATGAGGAGGACCTTAGCGCTGTCCGTGGAGAGTCAGGGCACCATCTTGAAGTGTTCTGGGGTGAAATGATTTGTCTTTCCATGGTTGTCCCATCTGCCTCCCATCCTGTAGCATTTAAATAAATCAGCATGAGTTGGTCAGTGCTATCAGGCCGAGTGGAAATGACTCCTTAGCTTGAGTTTGTTGGCTTAATCTCCTCTGAATTAAAAAGCCCACAAGACGTTGATCATCATGAGATCTTACACTCTTACTGAGAAGTGGGACTGCTCTGAAAATGGTCCTGATGTTTACTCTTCTTGTAAACACCTTTCTTAAAAGGAGACTACAGCCATCTTCATCAACCACACAAATCTTCCAGGAAACAGTACTTTTCGTAACGGTTAATCTCTAACACTGCCACTGCAACTTTAGCCAGTCATAGTTCAGGTGTCAATGTCTGCAACAACGTCACCTCATTTATGTGAATGGCAGGCTTAGCAGTGAAATTTAATGCAGCTCATAGGCTTTTTTCCTCTAAATTGGGAGACTTTACCCTAAAATCCATATGTGCAGCATTTCTTGAAAAACACTGTCTGTCCCCACAGGACACACATTCCCACGTGTCGTTTGTCCACCGTCCCTGTCATTGGTCCACTGTCCCTAACACTGATCCGCTGTCCCTGAGCTCCTCTTCCACAGAGCCTGCCCTCTCCAGCTCACCCCATCTCCTCACTCCCTGTTATTGATCCTGAAACCACAGTTCAGTTGCCATTTACTGTTTCACTTGCGTTGTTTTTCTTAGATGAGAAATACAGTTTTCTGTTCTGGGTAGTTACTAAAGGTGAGAAAACAAGAGTTAAACTGATAGAGGCTCCTGTGTCTAGGGGAACGCAGGTAAAGATGACAGTTGTTAAATGGAAGAGAAGAGTTTTACACCCGCACCTGCTTCCTGCCGCCTCCCGAACCCCGTGTGCGTCTGTGACCGCGGCCCCTGCTCAGGCCCGTCTCCCACACGCTCGCCGCACACTCTAAAA